TGACACGGGGAGTTTGCCATAAATTAGGTTCTGTAGTCTCAACCACTTGATTGCATTGCAGGTGTTTTGGCACATCTGTCCTGGTAAAAGTAGAGCGTGTACCTCTACACTCTCAGCGTGTAAAGATAAGATATACTATTCTAACAGAATAGAAGAAACTTTACCACATTTTTTAATATGTGAGATTTCCAAGATTTTTATCTGAAATTTCGTAGAAAAATATTCATTTTGGTCAACCTTCACCTTAAAGAGCATTAAAATAAACTAAAGCCAGTTTTATTTCTTGTGTTCCAATGAATTTTCGCCATTGTGCATTCTTTGTTATGAGGGTGGTTATGTTTTGGCAGTGGCATTTCTCTGCTGCTGGTTATCAAGCAGATCGTTTTCCTTTGGTATTGATTGGATTTGTTCTTATGGGAGCCACCTCATTGAGCTGCACCTGCAAGCATAGGTTTTAAGAGGCAAAACATGATTTGTCAGAGTGATGACTGTCCATCGATGTGGAGGTGCCAGTGTTGGACTGGGGTGGACAAAGTCAGGAGTCACATGACACCCAGTTATAGTCAAACAGGTTTTTTATGAAATCGCACGCTTTCGAAGCGCTGCTGCTTCGTCACCTGACAAAGGAGCAGCGCTTTGAAAGCCTGTGATTTCAAATAAACCTGTTTGACTACAAGCTGGTGTCGTGTGAATTCTGACACGAAATTGAGACACTGATTTGAATTTGTGTACCTCTGTTAGGAATCCAGCAAACTACAGTGTGTGCAGTTGGGCTGTCCACTATAAATATCATAGGAAATTAAAACTTACAATATCTAACTGCTATATACACGTGTTTATCTACTTTGAAGGAACAAAGCTCCTCTCACATTCTCACCTTTTCTTTTGTCTTTGTATTAGATCATAAGTTGATTTAAACGTTTGAATATTTCGTTTGTTTATTTGTACATTAGTTTCCATGTATAACATAATTAGATTCCAAGTTAAAAAATTTTAAAAAATGTATATGTGGGCAGAAGATTTGAATGAATGCGATAATTTTCATTATCTTGGCTTTATTTATTTTACTGGACTTATTTTTATTTGTGCCTTCCTTTCTGCATCTGATTGCTGGGCTTCTTTGGTTCTGCACCTTTGTTCTTGTCACTGTGCTGAGATCACTTTTAGCCTTCTTTAGTTTTGCTCTTGCCAGCCTGCTATCTGTAATTGTTGTTGTGATTACAATGCCTGTTGCTATATGAAACTTGAGGAAGTCCCTGCTGAGGACCCCAACCATGTCTGTGACTTCAACTTAACACTCTCTTTGATTCTTGGCGTGAGACAACCAAATGTCTGGAGATTTACTTTGAGTGCTCTGAATTCTGTCAGCATAGCTGGATAAGACAGTGCTGGCCTAAGGTTTATGTTGTAAAAATGAACTTAACGATATGTTAATGTCATGTTCAAACCTTAGATTAGCTACTAAGGGAAAACCTTGAATTTGTTCTTTTCAGTCAGCAAAAAATTCGAGTTCAAAGATTAAGTTGGGTAACAATCTTCACATTGTTCAATTTGTATAAAGTCTACTTACATGCAATTCAAATAAATGTGTTGGCAAACATTTTCTTGCTTTCCAGATTGGCTGGTGTAACTTTAGAACTACTTTGCTTAACGTAGTTAAATGGTCATCCCTGATTTTTATCAAATTTACATGTACTGATTAGGAGAAATCATTAAGGAAATGCCCAATGCAATTCTTTAGAATCCTTGCTTTAGTTTATTTTATACAAGTATGATCTATTTTTAATGCAAGTCTCTTCTACAAAAAAAATCTGTTTGAATCTAAGAAAGAGTAAATTATGTTAATGTTAAGTATGTTAATAAAAAGAAGTGATCAGAAAACTGGGTGAAAGTGGAATGATCTCTGGAGCATAAATTCACATAAAGCCCATACACATCAGCTGAAGGTATGCTTTTTGGCCCTGTGTGAAGTTAGTTGGTTATTCCATACCTGGAACCTGGCCTGCATGGGTCTACAAACCAAAACTGGCATTGACTGGCAATCCCCCAGTGGGTGGTATGAAAATTGCAAATCGATTCTGACTGCTCAAATAGATTGTGCTCATAAGTTGGAATGGAAACATGTTTTCATGATAGAGTAGGGGAAGTTTTGTTTCTGAATCTGAAAAGGGAACGTTTCAGATGCTGATGTTGAATAATCAAGTGGAAAGAATTCCTTTGCCAAGCAAAAATAAAATCACCAAATATCGTTTGTTTATCATATAAATCATTGAAACTCAGTTTAGAAGACTTCAGCTATTTTGGATAAACGTTTTAGATATTGTTTTCAAAAGAACTACTTGCCTCATTTGTTTTGTTCATATGTAATTTATGATCTCAAGTAGTCACATACATGTGAAGTCATCATTTTCAATGGAAACTCATCATTGTATTGATCATCACATCAACACATTAACTTTGAAGTTAAGAACTGATTTTTCACGAACTCCAACATTGGTATAAGTTCAGCAAAATGATTTATACTCGTGCTTGACATTTTGTGAAGAATACAGACGCGCTAAGACTTCAATGTGTCTTTCATCCAGCCTGTATGCTGGTGCCTTAGGTTACTTTGAGCACGGTTCAAAAGGACTTTACAATCCTGGTCTTTTTAGAATCCTAACATGGTCAAGAAAAGGAACACCCAGTTTAATCGTTTCAAAGCGGCATGAAATATTTTCTTGGAAATATGAAAGGAAATTGAGTGCTTCATTTAGTGTTCCTTGCCACAGCCAGATGTACACTGGCATAATAGTTGCTTTTGGTGTTTTTGGGAATGGAACAGAAAGTAGGGTGATCTTTTTTTTTCCTCTTTATTGGTATCACTGCAGCCTGAATTTAGTACACCAGGATATTCAAATACTGCAGTTTTTCTGCTTCCCAATTTTGATATTAAATGTAGAAACATAGAAAAAATGAGTACGAATAGGTAGTTTGGCACTTGGAGCCTACTCCACCATTGAATTTCTCATCTAACTCAGTACTCTGTTCCCACTTTCTCTGCTTATCCTTTGATCCCTTTAGCCCTAAAAACTATATCTAACTTTTCAAAACATTCCACGTTTTGACCTTAACTGCCTTTGGTGGCAGAGAATTCTACAGGCTCCCTCCTTTCTGGGTGAAGAAATTTCTCCTCATCTCAGTCCTAAATGGAGTACCCTGTATCCTTAGACTGTGAGCCCTGGTTCTGTATTCTCCAGTCATTGGTAACATCCTTCCTGCATTCACCCTGTCTAATCCTGTTAAAATTCATAGGTTTCTATGAGATCTCACTGCCCCCCGCCCCCTCCCCATCCCCCCCAAGTTCTTCTAAACTCCAGTGAATGTAAATCCAGTGTTTCTTCATATGCCATTCCTGCGATGCCAGGAATCAATGTCATAAACCTTTGTTGCATTTCCTCCATAGCCGGCACATCCTTCCTTAAATACGGAGACTGAAGCTGCCCACAATACTCCAGGTGTTGTCTCCTCAAGGCGCCACGCAATTGCAGCAAGACATGGCTATTCCTGTAGTCAGTTTGTTGCACCTGTCCCCCTACCTGATGCATTGCCATTCATATAGTAATCTGCCTTCCTGTTTTTGCTACTAAAGTGGATAACTTCTCAGTTCTGCACATTTTATTTCAGCGTCCATGCATTTGCCCACTCATTCAACTTGTCCAAATCACACAGAAACATCTCTGCATCCTCCTCACAGCTCACCCTCCCATCTAGTTTTGTGCCATCTGCAGTCTTGGAGATACTATATTTAGCTTCCTTCTCTAAATTATTAATATGCATATTGTGAACAGCTGCGTTCCTAGCACTGATCGCTGCAGTACCCCACTGATTGCTGGCTTCCACTCACTAAAAGGCCCATTTTTAATATGCCCGTTCCTACTCTTTGTTTCCTGTCTGCCAACCAGTTCTCTACCAATGTCTGTACACTACCCTGAATCCATGTACTTTAAAATTTACATGCTTATCTCTTATATGGGACCTTATTGAAAGCTTTCTGAAAGTCCAAGTAAACCATACCCACTGGCTCCCCTTTATCAATTCTACTAGTTACACCCTCGATATCTCCAAGTTTGCAGACAACACAAAGCTGACTGGGAGGGTGAATTGTGAGGAGGATGCAGAGGTGTTTACATGTGATTTGGACAATTTGAGTGAGTGGACAAATCCAGTAGATACGTCAAGTGTGATTTTCCCTTTTGTAAATTCATGCTGACTCTGTCTGATCCTGTCACTTGTCCAAATGTTCTGCTGTTAAATATCTTAGAACAGATTTTTAGCATTTTCCTGACTATGAATTTTAGGCCAACTGGTCAATAATTCCATGTTTTCTCTCAACCTCCAATTTTAAATAATGGGGTTACATTAGCTACACCCTTTCAACTGTAATAACTGTTTCAGAGTCTGAAGAATCTTGAAAGATGTCTGCCAATACATCCATTATTTCTAGGGCCACTTATGTAAGAACTCTGTGATGTAGATTATCATTATAAGTCTTTAATTCCCTCTATTTCCCTAACAGTGCCGATTTCCTTCAGTTCCTCCCACTCATTAGACCCAGTGTTCCCTGAATTTTTTGGTAAAGACAGAATCAAAATATATATTTAGTTGGTCTGCCATCTTTGTTCCCTTTATAATATTCCTGATTCTGATTGTAAGGGACATATGTTTCTTCTTCAGTAATCTTTTTCACTTCACATACTTAAAGAAACTTTTATAATCAGTTTCTATGTTCCCCGCAAACTTATTCTTGTACTTATTTTCGCCATTTGTCCTCCATTTTTGAAATCTGAACTGTTCCCAATTCTCAGATCTGCTGCTTTCTTTCAATTTGTATGACTCCTGTAGATTTCCCAAATAATTCGTCTTTTTGGTAGCAAAATGATCATTGTACATCACTGCTGATCAGGAAACATCTTTAGTGTGTTTTAATTTGGTGTTATCTATTGTCTTGCTATTGTATGATGCCATGCTTTGCTTCCCTTTCCTGTTCCCACTGCAATCTGTGATATGTTTGGTAATTTGCATTTTTCTCCCCCACTTGAAGATGGCTGTGTACATTGCATTCTCACCTGCCTATTCTGTGAGTTCGTCACCTTCTGCAACATTATCTTGGGACAAGCTTCCTGTGGTATCTGTACATCTGAAAACTGTTGCTGCTGTTGTGGAGCAGATGACCTTGGGGATGATTGTAACTGCCCTTGTGACATGGATTGTGGCATTATGGATGCCTGCTGCGAGTCCTCGGACTGCTTGGAAATCTGTATGGAATGTTGTGGGATTTGCTTTCCTTCATGATCATCTGGAGCAGCATGACTTTTAAAAGCAAGCTGAATAAACTGGAGATAATATTCATACTGTTGCCAAGACGGGAGATGTTAAAATACCCTGGTCATGTTCAACATTACGAAGACGAAACAGTTGCACTCTTACTTCTACATAGACATAAAAATAATTTGTGTGGAATCTTATATCATCTCTGTACTAATAAGGACCATAGATTTGGCAATTTTGTTTTAAAAATGTGCAGTTAAAGTTTGCAAATGTTGCTTTGTTATTAGGCAAAGCTGTTGCCATGGAACATTGCATATGTACATATTAATTAATCTACAGTTTCAAAAACTAAAGCTGTTCCTTCTTAAACTTTTGAAATGCATTTTAATGTATGTCATTTATGATAAAGTTTTTTTTTTAAAAGATGAGTTATATAGTTAGATTTACAATCCAGGTTCACAACTTTGCGTTCATTTTTCTTGATGCTTTTGGTTCAAATTAAAGGAATCTGTTTGGTTGCCAATTCCATTAAATACCACATTAAATTATTAAATATACATTTTACTGTAAACTACTGTTAAGAACATTCTTTAAGTGTCTGTTTTAAAAGCAAATTAAGGATTTAATTGTGTAAAGGCTTTTTGATAACCCCTAAAAATAATGATTTTTTTAAACAAATATTCATCTCTGCATAATTTCCTGAAGTTACATTTTAATTGAAAACCAGATTAAGTGTACCTGCATGGGGAAAGTGAGAGGGATTTTCAATACTCTCATTTCATTAATTTAAGATTTTGTTGTTTGATTTTTTTTTTCTGGAAACTTTATTGTGTTGAGTAATAATGGACCAAATTAAGTTGGTAAAGCCATGTAGTATATTACAGAATGGAAACATTTGCTTACATTAAAAAAAATTTTTTTTTTCTTTTAATTTGTACGTAGCTTTATTTTGTGAGATAAACCAAGGGGAGCCAGATACATATATTTTTATGCCTTTCTGTAGTTTTTTTAAAAGACTAGAGCATTATCTTAAGCCATGTACTAAAACAACCAACATCAAAATAAAGTAATTAGACTTGACTTAAAGATGTGGCTATATCTTGTTCAATCCAGTGTAAGTGTGTAATCTGGTTTGACAAATTGAACTTTATTGAATGTGTTTTTAATTGAAACATTATTTTCTTTTCTTAATGTTCTAACTTTTTAAAGATGTGTAAACATGGGCTCCACTGAACACTGCAAATGGTTACTACACGGCAGGTAAAGTGCAAATAATGAAACCCTTGAAAATTATTTTATTTGTTAGGCAATAGATACAGCTGTAAATCTATATGTAATCAAGGCAGCATTGTTGGGCAAACGTTTCTTCTTTTGATTCATCCATGGGTTGCAAGTGTCAGTTCTAAGAGCAATGGATTGGAATATAATGTTTTGAGATTAAATGTTGGTTATGAAATATCTACCTAATTATATGCATAAATCTGAAAATGTACATTCTTGTAAATAACATGAGTGAATATAATTTTAAATCAATTCCTGAGGCCAAAAAACCTCTTGTAGAGGGTAACATTTTATTGTAGTAGAAACGTTGCAGTCAGAATTATTATGTACTTTCTGTGGTTAAAAAGCAGGTTTCTAAAAGTGAAATTCTGTAGGTTGGCATTTCTGATAATACTTTTGGGTTTGCCTACACTACAAACCTCCTGGGTGGCTTTCTGAAAGAATATATAACTTAAAGATGGTAATCTTTATATCGTACTTCATAAAATTGATTCTGTGTACACCTGAAATGTTACTTCCTTTAACCCACACAGCAAATCACAGAAGGAACAGTTGGTAACTGCCTTTCACGAGTGGTACTGAATAGATCATCACCTTCAATAAGCTTAGTCTCTGGTTATTTGCTTTAGGCTTTTGGAATGCTTTTGGGCATTTTTTTAGCTGATTGGCCCATGTTTGAGGTATTTATGAGCATGATTTTTTGAAAGAAAGGTTCTTTGTATTTGCTTGTTCTCAATGGCTGAGCATGACAATACTGCTAGTTATACCCTTTAAGCTGGCATCACAATTAAACAGCTGCTGGAGCTGTAAAGGATGTAAGGGTGACGATGGCGTTATAGTATTCTGAAACTGAATGTTATGCATGTAGAGAAGTAAGATGCAATGATCTGTCTGCCAACAAAGACATGTCAAAATCTGTGCTGTCTGTTGGAGTGAGAATTGCAGCCCTATGTTAGTGTATGCACGACAATGCCCAAGGCACTTCAGATCACTGTGACTGTAAACTTTCATATGTTTCATTTCTTGCAAATGGCATCTGGTGACATCAGTAACACAGTGCAGTTTTCAGTGCTTGTAGTCTAGCAAGTCACTGATGCATTCTTACAATGTATCAGCGATGTATTCTCTTTCCCCAGAGGCTTTCAGAAGGAATTAAGAGCACTAGGGCACTGCCTTTCCCACAATAGTGGGTTCTTGCAAACATAGGGAGGGATTTTTTTTTTCTTTATTCATTAACGGGATGAGGATGTCGCTGGTTAGGCGGCATTTATTGTATATCCCTAATTGCCCAGAGAGCAGTTCAGAGTCGACCACATTACTGTGTGTCTGGAGTCACGTGTAGGCCAGACCAGGTAAGGATAGCAGTTTCCTTTCCTAAAGGACATTAGTGAACCAAATGGGTTTTTCCTGACAATTGACAAAGGATTCATGGTCATCATTTAGATTCTTAATTCCAGATATTTTTATTGAATTCAAATTCCACCATCTGCCATGGAAGGATTCTAACCCAGTTCGAATCAAAACCATGGAGACTTGAATCCTTCTCTCCCCAACCATCACGCTCCCCCTTTGAGTGTCAATGATCCTTAATGGGAAGTCCTTTTAATTAGTCAATGTTTTCATTGCAGGTGGAAAGGTATGCAGGTTTTTGCCTGATTTTTCGACCGGAAGTCATCACACACTCTTGTCTCTCTGTTTAATACTGTTCGCATCATTTACATGGCAGGCTGGCTACTGATGATTAGGCTAACCCCGTACCAACTGACTCATGACAGTACATGGAATCTTGGCGTAGGTAATGAGTAGTAATTCAATTAGAGCCATAGAGTTATAAGGAGTAAGCTATTTACGTTCTGAAACAATTGGCAGAATTTTCCCAACCCTTGTACAAAGTGGGCAACAGTCAGTGGCAAAGAAGTGGGATACCTGGGTAAATTCATTTATAACCTATTGGTAAGTGACTGATGGGCTGTAAAGAGTTTGGACGACAGAAAGAATCTGTTTTGTCTCTGATACACCGCGCACAGGTTCATTGGAACTGTGTCCAGGTTATTATCACTGTGACCACAGTGCAGCAAAGGCACAGAGTAAATGAAGAGGAACAAATGAGTTAACACCCTCCAGTAGCTGCCAAAAAGCTTCCTCAGGAAGTGTATCAAAACATTGCTGCTCAAGGCCCTTCTCAAAATGCGGAGAAGGTCCGGACGGCCAAGAATCTTATCACCTTTGCAGTTTCCCCCACATGAGAGAGAGGCATTGCTGCCACACACTGAAGATGACCTAGGACACTGTCACAGAACCGTGTCATCTTCTGAAGCAGGACTTGCAATAGAAGCATGGCTAGACGTCCCATCTAAGCGGCCGTCAAGGTGATAACTGCTCTAAACTTCTTTGCAACTGACTTTCCAAGGATCCACTGGGGATCTCTTGAACTCCAGCCTCCAAATGTACCAAAGGTACTCCCGATGGAATTTGTGACAGATTGCATTGCTTCATCTTGTTTCCCTGTGTTGAGGTCAGTGTTTTAATTTGGGCAGTAGACTTTACCAATAAAGTTGGCTTCCCCTCTGTGCAAGATGCTACAGGCTAAACACACATAGCAATCAGAGTGCCATATAATCCAACTGACTCATCAACAGATAAGAGTTCCAAGTCATTTGTCATGATTGATACTACATCTTATGGGCAGCATGGTGGCTTAGTTGTTAGCCCTACAGCCTCACAGCGCCAGGGACCTGGGTTCCATTCCAGCCTTGAGCGACTGTCTGTGTAGAATTTGCACATTCTCCCTGTGTCTGTGTGGGTTTTCTCCAGGTGCTCCAGTTTCCTCCCATCTTCCAACAATGTGCAGGTTAGGTGGATTGGCTATGCTAAATTGCCCCTAATGTCCAGGAATGTGCAGACCAAGTGGATTAACCATGGGAAATGCAGTGTTACAAGTATATAGTAGGGGGTGTGACTGGGTGGGATGCTGTTCAGAGGGTTGCTGTGGACTCAATAGACCAAATGGCCTGCTTCCACACCGTAGGGATTCTACAAGTCTATCAGGGACCCTCAAAGATGCAAAGATGCCTATATCCTTGAGAACTTTCAGGTTCCTGCTCCAGTTAAATGGCAGATTCCTTACAAGGATGATTACTAGGAGACAAGGGCCACTCTCTGTAATTATGGTCGATGATTCTGTTATGCAAACCATTGAGGCTAAGCACAGAAATGTTGCCACCCGTTCTTCCATCATGACCATAATGGAGTAGATGATAGGCCTACTGAAGCTGAGGTTCCAATGCTTGGACTTGCTAGTGGGTGTGTTGGAAGGGGGAGAGAATTTGGGATGGGGGTGTCAGAGATGGGCCCATGCATTACATATTGCCTGCTCCCATTGTGTTATAGATCACAAAGGGGCAATGCAATGGATGTTGATGTGCAGCAGATTGGCAGCTGTCTTCTGAGGAAGAAGATGAAGAAATTGAGCGGCAGGAACATTACCTTCAGCATGATAGAATGGAGCAGTGTTGGGCTCTTGAATCAGTCTGGACTTAAATAACAGCTGGTTCCAGCAGATCAGAGTTGGGCGAATTAACCATTCATTGACTGTAAATGTGTTACTAATGATAAAGCGAGCAGCCACTGTTTATTCCCAGAAATAAAGACAGTTTATTTTAGTTGTGTTCTCCTAACTTTTATTCAGCCACAGGGTAAGTGAACTTTTTCAACAGTTTGAAATCTTTCCAATGTGCTAAATTAGGTGGGTTATAGGGGGATGGGTCTGGGTGGGATGCTCTGAAAGTTGGTGTGGACTTGTTGGGCTGAAGGGCCTGTTCCTACACTGTAGGGATTCTATGTGCTGTGACCAGATGAAACAATGGCAAGATATCCTTGCTGGGCATCAGAAAAAGTAGCACTCTCTTAGGCAGGTTTCTAACATGGTATGGTGCTGTGGGGGCCTAGCTTATGTTGCTTCATTCATGTAGCTGCAATTACATTGACAGTTGATGATGTAAAATAGCAATATGTCTACAAATATGAGATTTTATTTCGTCCCATCGACATTTACTGCAAAAGGCTATTTCTGGCTAATAGCGATTAACTTGGTCCTTCAAATATGGTGCTGGTGGTGGAAATCTGGAAGGTCCTGGCCCTGGCGAGCACTTCAATCACTGGTGTAGCATAGTGCCATATCTACAGCGCCAAGCTTACATAATGAGAGCAGCGGAGAATTGTGAGGTATGTTGTTAGACCTCATAGGAGACTTTCTGAAATTTGCACTTAGCACAGAGTACAGAAAGAGTACACAGGGAGTTCTTGAATGTAGCTCAAAATGAATGTAGTGATTTTTCGTTGTTTGCTGCATGGTCCATAATCTACCCTCACAAAGAGGAACTATCTACAGGCTCCCTGAAGAGCAGGTGGATCATGAGGATGAAGGAACTTTACCTCTGTCGCACCACTGTTTAAATTCCTAGTTGTGAGTTAGATTACTAAGTATGATCGGACTTACTGAACTGTTTTCTCCTCACGGATGCTGCCAGATCTGCTGAGCTTCTCCAACAATTTCTGGTATTTGTTTGAATTTTTAGCATTAGTGTTTCTTTGTTTTATTTTAGTGACCCTTCTTTAGGACTGACTTGTTGCTGTTGTTTTGAAATGTAA